TTTTTTAAAGAAACAGATGTTTACAGGTGAAATAGGTCCCTATGGAAGAGGTTAAATGCAGGAAGGTAACATAAACATGAATAGTTCCTTTACATTATAATATATTCTACTTTTAAAAGTCCCCAAAGATTAAGGACAGACCTAAGTATACTATTTAGTAAATTAGTTAGTATATACTAGTTATTATATACTAATTTACTTCTGTAGCTTCCATGTGATCATTCCTCTACCTTAATGGTCTTTCTACACCAATGTTCTCAACCTTTTTCATCACTGCCCCCTTAAGGAGACCTTTTAGATGCTTCTTCTATTCATCTCCCCCACTGCCCCATAAATGAAGGAGTATGAGTTTGTCGGTAAGGATTCAGTTTTACAAGGTCACAAGAAGGTGTAATAGTTATGGTTGATTTCACCTGCCAAATACCAGTTTTCTCCCCTTAAGGGCAATAATTCCTCCACTGAGAATGCATGTCCTATACTCAATTCAATCCCTGGTCCCCACCACCCTGCTTCTGCATTTGGCTAACTCCTAATCCACTTGCCACTTTCACTTCTCATGTGAGACTTCATTTCCTCCAGAGGCTGTTTTCTGACTCCGTAAGTCAAGGTTATATGCTCTTTCTATGTACTCCTATTACATGGAGTATTTTCCAGCATTTACTACATAACACTGTAATTTTCCTCTTTATTTATGTACATCCTTCCTTAGACTATAATCTCTGAGGATTGTTTCTAGCTTGTCTGCTGATATGTGTATTAATCAAGTTTCTGCAAAGAAACAGAACCAATAGGATGTGCATATATACAGTGATTTATTTAAAGAATTGGCTCATGTGACTTGTGGGGGCCGGCAAGTTTGAAATCTGCAGAGCAGTCCAGGAGGCTGGAGACCCAAGAAGAGTTGATATTACAGCTCAGAGTCTGAAAGCAGTCTGGCGGCAGAATTCCCTTTTCCTAGGGGAGTGTTAGTCTTTTTTTCTCCTAAGGCCTTCAACTGATTGGATCAGGCCCATTCACATTATATAGAGGACAATTTACTTAAAGTCCACTGATTTAAATGTTAATCTCACTTGATAAACACCTTCAGAGACATCCAGACTGGTGTTTGAACAAACACCTGGGTTCCTTGACCTCATCAAGTTAATATAAAATTAACTATCACAGTGTCCAACACATAAAACTATGCCTATCACATAGTAATTTTTCAACAAACATCTGATGAATGAAGAAAATCTCCACATTAGAAGTGAATTTACAGTATCAGTTAGCTTAAGTTAGGTATTTACTGTGTCAGTCAGCTTAAGTTAATGTATGCTTCAGTAACA